CACTGACATACAGAAGACAGACACACAGCACGTCAGGGGGCTTCCATATGGCACAGAAAGCAATTGCCACATTGCTGAAGCAAGCAGATTTGGTGCTGTCAGACAAATACCTCCAACAATGAGAATAAATATGAGAATACATTAGGACAAGAGATTTACCTTTACTAGAAAGGTTTTTACTGAAACGGGATTGTAAGACGTACGCTGTGATACTGACAATATAACGAGACCAGTACCAAGCACAATTTTTTACTGGCCCTGCTGAGGTTGGAGATCTAAGGTTTATTATTAGCAGTCTGATTATTATGAACCACTTCATTTTTGCCAACACTAACAGGAGGGTGTTTGCTCCGTATGTTCAGAGAGTTTCCTCATTCCTTCTCCACCTCAAAAACAGAAGGAAAAGACCAGTATCAGTGTCCTCCCTAAGTGGGAGGAAGCACGCTTTCTTCTTAAGGGAAGAAGGAGAAGACTCCTGCACTTCCACTACCTCCCTGCCTGCAGCAGGGAACATGCCAAGACGCACTCATTTTATCTGAGATAACACCCAGTGAGCTTGTGCTGGAAGAGCACACCTGGTCCCACCGGAATAGGTTGCTTTCCATAAGACGTCTACATCTGCTGCTGCTTCTGCCAATAGTTACAGCTCATTTGCCAGAGCATGCAGATTTCATACCCCAGTGACCTCAGGAGCACCCCTAGCCTAACGACAGCGTGAATTTTTAGAGCTGTCAAGATATTTTTGTTTCTCCTCACTTAAAGATGCTCAGCAAAGGCACAAGGAAAACATCCTTTGTGTTAAGCACCTTCCAATGGTTCTGCATATTCTTTAGCTCTATGTGCCTTATCTGTACAGGCATACAAAACACACATAATCCCCCAGAGTAAGCCCGCCTCTGACTTTCCAGTGCAGAAAGCCATTAGGATAAAAGAAAGGGAATAGGAAAGAAATATCAAGGGTAAAAAAAGACAACAGGCTAAACCTGTAACCAGGCTGTCATTGCCATACACCTGCAATAATCAACTGAACTGCCAATCCCTGACATTCTGTGATTCTGTCAGTCCTGCAGGCACTCACCTCAATCTCAGGCTGCATCTGCTTTTCTCATTACAATTCAAAGCAAACAGCTTATGTATAATGCTGATACAGCTGTTACAACTCAACCCAATTAGGTTTTTGTGTGTTTCTGCACCCAAAACCACTTCCATTATTATTGTTATTAATATTTTTCCTAGTGTATCATCTGGTACAATAGAGAAATTACCTTCTTCCCCAGAATTTTTTCCTTCTAGCTGCAGGAAAACCCCTGTTGTATTTATGTGCACAAACAAGCAGAAAGTGAGCAGCTATACAGTTCACTGGCAGTGATCACAGAAGATAGCTAAGGCACCTCCGCTATTCACCCACACTGCAGCCATCAGACAAGCAGGCACTGTGTGAGATCAGCAGGAAATACTGCATCGCAAAGAGAGTTTTGGAAGAGAAATACTCTGCCAACAGCTTCAACCTGCTGTCAATTCTGGCAAGATCAAGTATAATCATCATTAATTTCCAGCAGCACAGGCTAGTTAGCTCTCACACTACATATACCTTCTCAAGCAGAGAGGGCATCTGATTGTCGGGACCCACAAAAGTGTGAAATGCAGAACTACATCAGAAGGATCAAGCAGAGTGGGGGACAGACGTGCCTTTCATAAGTGAGGTCAAATGCTGCTAACATCTTCCCAGCGATACCAAAAGTTATTTACAACTGAATTAATTCTCATGATCAGTTATGTGAATTTTGCCATTAAGCATAGATTAATGTTCACTCCCCTACAACTTAAAATGCTGTAGTAAGATCAGAGATGTAGGGTACACATGCTTTCCTTAAGGAAAGATTGCATCATTCACCTCTGCAGGCCTTAGAGCCCCACTAAGCAATCCCTCTGAGATTTAAAACACTCTAAACATTAAAATAAATACCCTATTAAAGTAATCAAACAAATTAACTAACTTAGCAGATGAGATTACCTAATGGTTTCATGCTCATAATCAAGTATCCTGATCATACCACCAGCATTACAGCTGGAAAACAATCTCAGGATTTTCTTCTCTAACTCAAAGGAAAGTGAAACACCACAACAGAGCAGCAAGATCTTAGGCCACAGCAAGTGAGAAACTGCTCAGAAGCCACAGCAATAAACACAGACTTAACAGAAGGGAGAGAGGGGGAAAAAAAAAAACAACAAAAAAAAACACAACACTCACCTTTAGAAGACCCAGAAGATCATACAGATAGGCAAGATAAGATACAAGAGCCCCCACTGCCAACCCTTAAATAAGGTCTGGCAAGGGCGGCAACCTGGCTCCATCCCTTCCAATCACTCAGGTACATTGCATGCACCTGAGCTTCCCTAGGTTGGCCCTGCCTTCGTACCAGGTGCTCAATCACTAGTTCAAGCCATGACTTAGCATTTCCACTACATTTTACGTTGGATAGAAACTAAAGTAATCATTCTAAATTCAACCTCATATTCTCAAGACACATTGCTCTGAGACTCCCCTTTAGCTGCTTAACAAAATGGTTAGAAGTATTCATTAGGAAAACCCAGTAGCAATTTCATTTGTCTCAACTAACAGTGGTTCAGAATACTTGACAGTACCAGACAGATTTTGCATTGTGGGCACCTTCCTCTGGTGATGGAATTCTGAGATCCTCACATTTCTTTTTCACAGCCTTCAATAAGGCTTTTCATTCTCTACAACTCTTGCTGTTAACTTCAACGCACGTGAGTGACCGTATCGGCAGAATATTTCCATTAGCAAATTTGACCCAAGGAAAAAGTAAAATTCAAGGCATGTTAATTTTCAAATGATTGTCAAAGAGAGGTGACACGTTCCTGGTCTCCAGGCAAACCTTACTGCTCTTTACTGTATAAACAGCATGGTGACTTGGAATCAGTTCATAACAAATGCTCCATGGTATTGCTTGACTCTCCACAGCAATTTTCACAGTCTCAGAGGTTTTGAACACTTTTGCTTATGATCATAAGCAGGATTTTTAAGGAAATATCAGCTACCTCAAGTGGAAGAGAGCAGAATTATGTGAGCTGGTCTCTATAGTTAAGCTAAATGTTTCCTTTTCACAGATAACGTGGATGTATATTTTTACCTGCAGCAGCAGCAGAGCACAACTGCAGTTGTGAGAACATCAGTTCTGCACTGAAGTCATTCTGAAGAGCAGCCTGACACACTGAAGGTTGAGCAGCATGCGTCTGTAGCAAAGATGGGCAGTTCCTGGAACTGGAGAATCAGGAGATAATCAGTAAAAGACTGAGTAAATCAAGGGAAAAGGCTTGGACAAGGCATTGTGCTGAGTATCTTCTTATTTGATAACATGGCTAGAAGAACAGAGAGTCTTGGGAGCCTTGCACCCTGGCTGAAGAGTATGTGCCCAGTATGGATACCACAGAGAGGGGTCTACACTGACCCTTTCCTAGCTAGGTGAAGGGGCTGGAGGATGTCAGGCCAGAGCAGGGTGTACAGCTCTGGGAGTCCAGGGATGCACAGCATAGCAGCAGAAGTCTCCTCTGCTAAGACAAGATGTAAGTCAGATTTCCCATCAGCTGTAACAGCTTCCTAGAACTGCAGGGTCATTTGAGATCCAGGCCTAGACCTACTCAGTCAACTTTTTGTCAGTCTGTGTTTAGTTCAGACTGTTGAGAGCAACATTTCATCCTCATAGCTTGATAGCAGCATGAATTAGGCCTAGTGTCCCTTCACACCATGTAGAAACGTCTTTCTTTTTGTTTGGGAGCACAGGAACTGAAGGACATCTGAGTCACTGAAAAATAGATATCCTGTAGCACGTTGTACTGCTTTACATGCTGTTTTTCATCAGGTAATTACACTGAACATTTAACAGTTTTTTTTTTCTTTTGAATGATGTTTTCTTGTGAATGACGTTAAGAGTTTTATTCTTCCCCACCTCCAACAGACTGTTTAAATCACAACATTTCTGATTTCTAGTCCTAATCTATAGATGACTATTTGTAGCATTTCTTTCTGGGCTGACAGCAGAATTTAGTTCAGTTAAAACCTATATTTAATCCATTATGGACATCCACCGTTTTCCCCCTTAAAGCTATGATGATGCCAGTATCCCCTATTCCTTTACAAGTACTTCTTTTCACACATTTTATGACTGTACCAGCAGTCTTCATGTCTGTTCTGGTTGGTCAATATGTCATAAAGGCCATACACCCAGGCCTATTCCATCTCAGGTGTTTCCTGCTAACATCTTCAGAGCTTATACAGAGGTTTAGTTCACAAACATAGAATTTTCTTGTTGTGTACTGCTGATCTGAGTTGTACTTTCATAAGCCAGTCCTCAGCACAGACTTACTGCTTTCTCTTTTAGTCTCAGGACTCTTGCGTATTAACAATATCTCTGTGGCTTCATCACATGCTAAGTCACCTCTTTTGACGAGCATCACATACCGTTCCTGTGCCAAGTGCAAGGTGTTGCACTTGGTTCAGGCAATTCCTGATATATGTACAGACTGCGAGAAGAGCTCATCACAAGCAGCTCTTGTGGGAGAAGCACCTAAGGGTCCTGACAGAGTAAAAACTTAAAATGAGCTAGCTGCGTGTATTTGCAGTCCAAAATGTCAACTGCATTTCAGGCTGCATCAAAAGAGGAGTAGCCAGCAGGCTGATTGTCCCCTCTGTCTCTGTCAGGGACTTGATCTGACTTGAACACTGACTGGTCTGGAGTGCTTTGAGATAAACATAGCAGGCATTGAGACAAATATGGAGGAGCCTGTACAGGAGAGCTTTGAGACAAATGCGGCTGCCCAAAGAGTCATTGTCCCTAACCACTCTGATTACCTTTCGCTGGATGAAGGTAAGCATGCGCACTGTGGGAAACAAAATGACCTCGGATCAGAAAGACATCCTAGTTACTTCTCAATCTATCCTTAACCGACTGGGGGTGTCAGTATCCTCCCCTAGTCTACAGCAAATGCTTGCATGGGCCACCAGGAAGGATCCCTCCATCACCAGTCAGACAGTTTACGACCCAGAGACTTGGGAAGGGATTGAGGTGAAATCGTGGGACGCATCCACTAAAGTTGATAAGATGACCCCTCAGGAAAGAGTAGCTAAAGCGTGCTATATTCTTAGTTTTCTAAATCACTGGATAACAGAAGGCCCTCCAATTCACAGGCATTTTGGCTGTAATACCTTAACTCTTGTCAAAGAAAAAGCACAGGTTATGGTAAAAAATCTGAGCTCTAACCAATGGGAAGGACCCTATTTTTTTATAACTTGAGGTCAAGGTTATGCTTGTGTTTCAACAGGAACAGGTCCGAGATGTGTACCAGCATGATGCGTATGGCCATCCCTTTCGTCATCTGCTGTAACATGATCATCACGTTCTCATCAGCAGTCTGGATTCCAGTTCAACCAAAACAGCATATTTGGGTCACCCTTGCCAACAAGACAGGACAAGACACACTTTGTTTGTCAACTGTGTCACCAGAGAACCTATTCTTGATGTTGGTGGGACAATGCCTAGACAAATGGCCCATCCTGAGCTCTCTTCTTGGGATAGCATTTAACATGAATACAGTAGTCAACATAAGGGATGGATGGGTACCCCATCTGCAACAGAGTAATCTTCAACCACAAGAACTGGAATTGTTTGGTTAGGTTAAAATGGATTATTGTTTTGTATTTTAACTATAGTGGAAAGAATCAATCATTAGTTCAGTGTGTTAATTCTAGTTTATCTGCTTAAAGAAATCACTCTGTTTGGTGTAATTATACTTCACCTAACATCTCAAGATCTAGTAACCGTCTGCTTAGTTTGCCAGCAGGAGTTTTTCTCATTTGTGGGGACAGGCCTGCTAGCCCTTCTCACATCAAAGGAGGTCCATGCAGTTTGGAAGGACAAATTTACTAACACCTATTATCTCCATGATTACTCACCACCGAAAGCACTTTAAGCGAACTGTACATGCTTTTCAATCAGAGTGTAAGGATAATGTAGAATTTTGAAACCCTGGGGGGATAATAGCAGCATTGTTTTTAGCCCTGGGCATTGCATCAGCTAAAGCTTTGAGCACACTTACTAAATTTGGATGCTGGCTGGCCAAGCAAACAAATGCTACTTCCTTGGCTCTAAGCAGACTGTTACTACTATAGACTCAGTACGACACGCTATGCTACAGAATCGTGCTGCTTTAGACTTCTTGCTGTTAGCTCAGGGTCACAGATGTCAGGATTTCAATAGAATGTGTTGTATGAACTTGTCAGATCATTTGAAATCAATATATAAAAGCATTCAAGATTTGCAGAATGGAGGTAAGAAATTACAGGTTGATGACGTGTTGGATATACTTGAAGGCCTCTTTGGAAGCCTGGGAGCATGGATAGAGAATGTGTAAAAAATAGGGTTAGTTTGTCTTATTGCTTTCCTCTGTGTTTTAATTTGCATTCCTTGCTTATTGTAGTGTGTTCAGAAAATGATAGAAGATGCTTTAATTCATGATTTTTTTCATTAGTAGAGAAGGGGGAGAAGTGGGAGAAGGAGAAGTCAGCTTGACCTAGTCGAATGTCAGCTTGCTGATAATAAGACCCTGGAAAAGAGAGATGAACAGAATAAGCAGGGATGTTTTGCAGCTAGGCATAAGATAAGCTCTCTGCTGTTACGAAGACTTGTTATGGAACTTGCTTGCTTTTTAGCCAATGGATTGTTAGTGGAAGTGTACTGACTACATGTGTTAGAATATAAAAGGCTTGTTTGAGAAAGTAAGGGGATATAGCAATAAGGAGAATCTTCTTTGCATGAGATCCCTATGTCATGTGCTATCTTGCAACAACTGAGAGGGTGGTAAAGGTACAAAAACAGGCTATCCAGATAAGCTATGGATGCCTCGTTTCTGAAGGTGTTCAAGGTCTGGTTGGGATGGGGACCTGGGTAGCCTGACCTAGTCTTCTTCAGGATTTCTGTTAATATGGTGATCAGCCAAATCAAATGTATTGTAAACACATAAAACAGACCTGAGGCAGCAATATCCACCCACTAACCACAGGTTAGTGGGCAGGTGCCATAGTGCAGTAAATTTAGATCTCTGGTAACCTGACAATCAAAGACAAAGACAAAGTTAAAGCATACCACAGCACTGAACATAAAAGAAAAATAAGCTCTGTGGATAGTACCACTAAGTTATAAAACAGAACTAATGAAATATTGTTGTCATTTTCTGGTATTTTCTCAACAAAAATGCTACCAAGGTTAACAAATGATGAGAGAGTTACTGGGAATGGATCTGCTACAAGACAACACAGTCAAAATATTGGTGAAAAAAAAAAAAAAGAAAAGCTGCTTTGGGGTCAGAGGATCCACTTCAAAAAAGGGTTGATGAAAGTGTGGAAAGAAGAACAGAAAGGAGAAGAGGAAAAATAAACAATTTGGTTTATCATCCACCAGACTAACAGACAAATGCATCTGGGCAAGGTGAACCATGTATTTCCACCTTCCTGAAGCTGAAAGCACTTGAGTTATTATATTTTTCTTATTCGCTTGGGTTTGTCTAGAAATTATGTAGTTAAAAAGAAAATTGGCAGGACATATAGAATGCTCTGTATTTTAAAAGCTACCTTATGAATGGCACAAGTGAGAGAGGGTGTGATGATAAATAGCTACCTAGAAGAGAAGATATTTGGAGGTAAGACATTGTGTAGATTACTGGTCAGGACATATTCAATTCACATTTTCAGTCACATTGACACAGGAAGGAAATTAAATTCAATTGATGGGTAATGAGTCAAGACTACCCTTTCTGAATTTCATCATAGACTTCCAGGTGCTAGCTCACTACTGTGTAATCACACTCAAATTGATTC